AGCGTCACCAAATCTTTTATTAATATACCACTTGACGTATAAGCCAAAAGAAAAAATGAACTCAAGATATAGTAGATACCTTGAAAGTATAAAAACAAAGAATTAAAGAAGTCAACAAACTAAAGATTTACATTGTTTCTCCGACAAAGAGATTAAGTGAGATGCTCCGACCAACTCAGAAGAGTCAAGAAGAGTAGGTGACTGTAATGGCACAATACACGTGGAAGCATATTCCCAAAAACACGTGGAAGCATATTCTCACAGGAGGTTCAACTTCAAACTGATATCGAAAGATAAAAGTAAATCCAAATTTACATTACCATCATTCCAAAGGTAAAGAAACAAAAATGTAATGTAGATTGTGAAATGAATCTATATTATTATTTAAGAAAAGAAATAAAAAAGATTGTGAAATGAATCTGGCTGCGCATCAGTCCAATGTTCAAGTCGAGTGTATTGATTTCATGGACGTAAGAGTCTTGTCATAGAGATCTCCTAACCATGACTATATGGCCCGATTCAAGAAAACAACTGGTTTAATGAAGTGTTACATTTATACGTCTTTTATTTGTTTTGTTTTATGGAGTTTTGTTTCTCTTAGAACTCATTTCGCAGGAACTTCAGAAGAAAAAATCGTTTTGTTGGCTTAGTTCTTGTGCTTATCTTCGGTTTTATAGTTTGCCTCTATTCTTAGTCTTTGGTTTCGATCTGTTTCGTTTATGACTCTAAAATTTGTTTTGTTATTTTAGTTGTTCCTTCTTTCAGACTTAGTTTCCGGAGACTTTCTTTCTGTCCGCTGGCTTAGTTTCCCTTATTTGGACTTCAGACTCTGGAGAAATCTTGTTTTCCACCGGCTTTTGTTGTATTTCACGTTGTATCCTTCTAAGTATTATGAATAACATCAGTTGACTAAAAAAAAGATTAACATCAAATTTTGAATATTAGATTCCTAATACGCCCTCTCAAAATGATGAGTTTATTTATTGTTAAATCAAATTTTGTTTTAGAACATATAATAATAAGAAAATATTGCATCGTAACACCGTTTTTAAGTTTGATATAACATGCTGACACCGTTTACAGTTCACACACCCTTTCCCCATGTTTTTTCTCTTTGCTACCCTTGATCTCTAACCAAGTCCTTCCAACGAAAATCATGGTTCCGTTTACATTCTCTCATTTTTATTTAACTTTTAATTTAAAATTTAATTTTTTGCCCAAAACAATAAAACATTTATCTCTAGTTTTTTCTTTTTTTTTTAAACTAACAATTATCTCTAGTTTATCTGAAAGTAATAACTCTAATTTGGCCATTTCCCCTCTCCCTCGAGCACATCTTCCCCAGAAGGCCAGAACTACACTCAACTTTTTATGAAGCAAGGAATCGAAATTTGGTTTGGTTGCTCGCAGAGTGAAGACGATTGGTTCCAGTAAAGAAAAACAAAGACCCCTCACCGAAGAAGGTTTAACTTTACATCTTTGTTTTATTTTTGATTTTAGCTAGTTTTGATTTCACATGTTTAGTTTCGCTAAATCCCCAAAAAAAAATCTTGACTTTAGATTGACCATATGTATATTCTTTCTGGGGTTTATTGAGATAGATTATGGGTAATCATTGTTTTATTTGATACGTGTGTTCTTGATCGTTTTATATGTTAAGATGATTATTCCATTTTTTTTGAATTTGGAAAGTTGAGATCAAATATTGATTTAATTAAAGCTCAAAATTTGATTTAACTAAAGCTCAAATTCGTTGTTTTTGTGATTTTGTTTTGAACCAGGAAAAAACATGAAACTGGAAAGCTTGTCTTTTGATTCTTGGGTAATGAATGTCGTGAGAGGCTAGCTTACTATGGTATTGCTGGGAATCTAATCACTTACCTCACCACTAAGCTACACCAAGGAAACGTTGCCGCTGCTACAAATGTCACCACATGGCAAGGGACTTGTTATCTCACTCTTCTCGTAATGACTGAAAACACATAATGAATGAAAACACATCCAGAAATACGACATCCATATGGACAACGTTTGGTGGATAACAAGATGTTTGACAATAGAGTTTTATCACACGTTTGCTTTTACTTTTGATTAAGAGTAGTTCTTGTTTGTTAACATATTGGTTCATTTGCATTGATGTGTTGGATCTGAAATTAAAATAAAAGCAAAAACAATTTCTTGTTAGTAGTTGTGACGAGATTCACAACCAAACCATTAAAATGATAATAAAGGGGTTAAGATTGTTCATAAACACAAGTACGTGTGGAATAGGTGATCTCCGTGTTGTAGGTAGCTTTGCCTCTCTCTCCACACTCCCAACCACTGCACACTCACCTCCGTCGTTTGACATGTGGTGCACACTTGCAACTAGCGTGCCTCATCTTGTCAAGTTACTCCTCATATTCGTTCTTGTATCGCTCGCAACTGCTCACTCTTTCTTGGCAAGTCCTGCATCACGAATCGTCCCCAATTTCACCATTTTTGGATTTGATTTTTTGGTATACGGTATCTGGTGCTTGTGTGGATATTATTTTGTGGATGTGTTCTTGTGGACACTTTTTACATATAAAGTAACATAATTGTTGTATAATGGTTTTGTATTCATGGAGTAATGGATTCTTCTAGTCGTATGATTTTTGTTTGCAAAATGTTTTTATACATGTAAAATGTCTTAAAAATATGGTAACCATGTATTTAAACCAAACATATAGCTAAAGTGGTATGAATAAAAGAGTAACGTAGTATCCATATGTTAAATTGCTTATGTGGATGCAGTATTATGGATGCATTATTATCAATGCGTTTTTTTATGGATCTAATACTATGGATGTGGTCATGTGGTTGAAAATGCATCTTTGTAAAAAACTATTTTACAAACAAATTTGTTTGGTTTATGGTGATTTTTGTGAAAAAACAAATGTGGATTATGGTATAATTGTAACATGTCTGTGTACTCTTATCAAGTAACTCTATACATTTTTATGAAGTAACTCTGACCTCTACATTTTCTCAAGAGAATAGCTAGTTAAGTATATGTGGACAATATCAAATGGATATGTCTGTTTTTTACATGAAAAATGATTTTTACATTAACTACTAAACCAATTCATATGGATTATGATCTATAAATAATTTTTTTCTTTTGGTCATACCAAAAAAAAAAAAAACAATAGAAATTTTCGAAAGTTGGTGTCCACGAGATAATGACCATATGGTCAGCAAAAATAGTTAAACCTTTCTCCATATGTTGGTTTTGTCTCTGTAATGTTCACATTCCAAAACAATATCTTGCAAATTTACCTTAATTCATCTTGTGCACCATCGCAAAACCTTCACAAGATAAAATGTAAAAAACATGAATGAATCAACACTTTTTCTCTAAAATAAAGTAAATACTAAAAACACTGTGTTTCAACGTAGTAAGGTCAATGTCTTCCTCTGCAATTCCCAAGTTGAATCCAGACGAAGAACACACTACCTCGCTTACCGCAAGAAAATCCATCAAAGGGTGTCAATTTGTCCTTGATTCAATTCCTCGTTTCCTAAAATCTTCGAACCTCACAAACATATTCAAACATCTGTTGAGTCGGAATTATTTCTTAAAGTAGCCGAAACCAGTTTCGCTTCTCAACAAAATCGGCGAAGTCCTCTCCCCTGTTGTGTACTTCGTACTTGCAGCATCCTCAAGGTCTTGCAGCACCATCGTCTCCGACATGGGCACCGCCCGCGAAACCAGAAACTTGTCCACTTCCAACCTCCATATCCCATCCACATAACAACCCCACTCCCCCAAAGAACAGTGCACTGTCCATCGATCCTAACCTACCACAAAAATTCAAGAAATTTTGTTAGCTTATACAATTCACGAACCAGTTTGTATCCACCTTTGAAGAAATGTCGGCTGTTTTCCAACCAATTGAACAAACTCTCTTCTTCTGGATATTATCCCCAAAAACTACTTTCTAACCTAGCAAAAAAAAACACACTTTTTTTTGGGCCACACGATCTATTACTTTTTTTTACAATCCTATGGCCAATATTTCGTGACTTGTAACCATGTTGGTTACACAATGGTTACACTTCCTTTCCACCATGTTTTAGAACGAGGGGCAATCATGTCTTTTTATTGTTAGCACAGTACAAAAGCACCTCAAAAACGGTGCATAAACATACAAGGGTGTTAAAGTGAAAGAAAACTCACCAAAAGGGTGCTAGCGTGTAACATTCCCTAATAATAACTCTACTTTAGTGTCTAACATTGATACCAAAAAAAAAAAACTACTTGGTGTTGGAAACTCAATAGTTAGCATGTGTACCTAGGACATTTACCCACAAAAACATTATGTTAGCAGGTTTTTTTTCGGGGTTTTTCCAATAAAATTTACATTCATAAGCTCCACTAAATCACTAATATATAAGGTGAGGTCATGTCCATGGGTTGTGTCACTATATTTGTGCAAGGAGAGAGAGGTGGTTACTTAAAAACCAGGCTTGGGTGTGTGGGTTAGATTAGATCTGTAGATGGGCTTGGGCTAGTCCAAATATACATCCAATCCCATTTGGTTTACCCACAAGTAAATCAAAAGGCTTAAGGCCACATCCAAAATACTATTTGATATATTAAAGTCTCAACATTCCTACAACATATTATATATCTTCAGACCTTGTTAGATTATACATCAGATTCGGTCCCAAAATACCATTAGTTTATCACTTCCACCAGCATCGTATAAACTATATATTTCACAAAATTAGTCAACGTTTTAAAACCATTAAGGTAAGTAAACAAATATAACAATCGGTCAACGTTTTTGTTCTAGCTCTCTTCGTCGGGAAGATCATCATCTTTATTGCGACCACGTCTTTGCGTCGTTGTTTAATAGACTTCACATGTTACATGGTCAACCACAAGTTCTTTATCATCTTTCCCCCAAAGTTCTTTTCATTTGGATCCATCCCAATATTATTGAATCTCTCAAAAATACTATAAAAATTTGATCATGGAAAAGGGCTTCTCGTTGGTGCCTAAAGAAGAAGGAGAACAAGATTATAGAAATGAGAAACATAAAGATCATACGAGTTGTTGTTATTTGTCAACAGAGATGATGAAGAAGGTTAGCTCCATGGCTGCTCCAATGGTAGCTGTGGCTGCTTCTCAGTATCTCCTTCAAGTTATCTCCATTGTTATGGCTGGTCACTTGGACGAGCTCTCTTTATCCGCGGTGGCCATCGCCACTTCTCTTACCAATGTTACCGGCTTCAGCCTCCTCGTAAAGTCTTTTACCTCTCCTCTCTTTCTATCTTTCTCATTTTGCCTAACTTCTAGACCTAAGCAAAAGATTTTAGATCACCAAGTTATATTTACTTAAAGCTTTTATATATATAAGATGGTTATAATATCTTTAGGACCACCAAAATATGTATTTCTTTAAAAGGTGTTGTGGAGAACATATTTGAAAACAACTTTATACATTTTTGAAGCTATAACTTGTTTATTCTCTTAACTAGGATTACTATTTTTATTAGGCCTACAATGCTGACTTGGAATGGTTAGTTTGGATTGGCAGGTGCGTTAGAGACACTATGTGGTCAAGCTTTTGGAGCAGAGCAATTTAGGAAAATTAGTACATACACTTACAGCTCAATGCTATGTCTTCTCTTGTTCTGTTTCCCAGTCTCACTTTTGTGGGTATTCATGGACAAACTCTTGGAGCTTTTCCATCAAGATCCTCTCATCTCTCAGTTAGCTTGTAGATACTCTATTTGGCTCATACCGGCTTTATTCGGATACTCTGTTCTTCAATCTATGACTCGGTTTTTCCAGTCACAAGGATTGGTTCTTCCTCTTTTCTTGAGTTCTCTTGGAGCTCTATGTTTCCACATTCCCTTTTGCTGGCTTCTTGTCTATAAACTGAAGTTTGGAATCATTGGCGCCGCGGTGTCCATAGGGTTTTCGTATTGGTTCAACGTAGTTTTGCTTTGGATTGTCATGAGAGAGACTGCTCTGTATCGCGAAACTAGGAATCTTCAAGCGCAAGAAATCTTTTTGAGTATGAAGCAGTTCATTACCCTGGCTATACCCTCTGCAATGATGACTTGGTAAACAAAACCTTCTAACACTGTAAAGCTTCTTGTTTTTGGATCTTTAATAGACTCTCCTAACTCTGTTCTTTCTCTTATGTTGGGTGTAAGTAAAGCCTAGAATGGTGGTCGTTTGAGCTTCTTATACTGATGTCCGGAATCTTACCGAACTCAAAGCTCGAAACATCGGTGCTATCCATATGGTAATGAACATATATAACTTTATAAACAATATTCTAACATAAGCCTTATGTTTTTTAAACAACGTTTTGATTGTTTAGTCTTTATTCTTTAAACAGCCTAACAATGTCGTCTCTGCATTTCGTTCTGGTGAATGCAATAGGAGCAGCCGCGAGGTTCTTATAGATTTCCAATTGTTCATAAGAATCTATATTTTGTTCTTGGAAATTTTCTCTGAACCAATGTTTCTTCTTATAATAGCACACATGTCTCGAACAAGCTAGGAGCTGGAGAACCAAAGGCAGCTCGAGCCGCAGCTGATTCTGCGATCTTTCTCGGTGTTATTGACGCAGCCATAGTAAGCACCACTCTCTATAGCTACAGAAGAAATTGGGCTTATGTATTCAGCAACGAGAGTGAAGTAGCTGGCTACGTAACACAAATCACACCTTTTCTCTGCCTATCTATTGGTGTTGATAGCTTCCTCGGAGTACTCTCAGGTAAACAGTTTACATCAAATCGTAAGTCTGATTGTACAGTTAGAATGTACAGAACAAAATGTTACTTGACAATCAAGAAACCTAAATATTCTTTGATTCTTCAGGTGTTGCTAGAGGAACAGGGTGGCAACATATAGGAGCTTATGCAAACATAGGATCGTATTATCTGGTCGGGATCCCGGTCGGTTCGGTCTTGTGTTTCGTCGTGAAATTGAGAGGGAAAGGACTTTGGATTGGTATATTGGTTGGCTCTACTCTTCAAACTATTGTTCTTGGTCTTGTCACTTATTTTACCAATTGGGAACAAGAGGTATATCTTTTTGTTTAATTTGTTGTCTTATTGATTATCTTTTGTCTTTTCTTGTTTTGCTAGTGTTTTTGAATTTTGTTTTGAATTGGGTTTTAGGCAGCAAAGGCTAGAGACAGAGTGATCGAGATGACACCACAAGGCGACTACCAAGTAAATGAAAGCGTATTAAAAGAGGATATACAAGTTTTGTTAAAAGATAGTTCAGAAAATGTGTAAATTCACTTAACATACTTGTAATTATAATACTGTCTGGTTAATTTTGGGTCTTATACGAATGTTATTGATTATAATCTGGCAAAAATGTTGGATTCGAATAAAAGAACTGAGATGAAATAGAATTTTATAGAACAAATTGTAAAACATACACATATAGTTTGACTTTTGAATGGAGTTTTGCACAAACATTCTCAGAAATTGCATGTGTTGACCAGTTTTAAATCTTTAATTTGGTGAATTGACAATCGTTATTTATGGGATTCTTTGTTTCTATAGGATTTTTTATTTGTGTGGATGCTAATTAAACATCTTAATTATCATTTTTATTGGCTAGGTGTGTAAAGGAATTAGGAGATTCATTCTTGTATTTTATCAAATAACTAAACTAAGTTTTAGAAAAACTTGGCCTACGCTCTAACATTAACATAAGTTACATAATCTAATCAACAAGGATGAATTAAATTCTACGCCTAAACATAATAATTAATCACCCTAATCTAATCTACCATATTCAAAGGATTTTGAAAGACTACATAATAATTATTTAACCGATCCCTATGAAACACAAAGATCTATAAAGATTCTTACATAATTATGTTAGATTGATTAGAGATTATAGACAAGAAAAAAACAAAGTTTAGATTACATAAAAATAATCAAGAATTCAAGATTCATACAAGATCTAAAAATAATTACAGATTCATTCTTGAAATCGTTCTCTTGGTCTTTCCTTCATCTCATTTGGCTCCTTTTTAACTATCTCTTAACTTCATGATCCCACTGTATACACTTAATAAGCACAAAATACAATACGAATACTGGAATACACCTAAACCTGTCTAATGGTCTAAACCCACAACTAAAAGTTAATCTATAATTCGCAACATTTTGTAAACAAAACGAAAAAAAAGTCTAAAATATATAACTAACTATAAGATAAGTTATTTTTAGAAATTTGCTGAAATTTCACTACACCTCACCATTCCTCAAAAACAATTTTTTTGAAAACTTAAATATCATTTTTGTTATGTATTACGAATATGCCAATACTAATTCGATTTTTACAAATTTCAATTGAGTAAATATAAATTTCTAAAATCAAATCTCATCAAAATGTTCCGTATTTTTTCTTTAGAACCTCTTTTCATCTTTTGTTTTTCTTTTACCAAAAAGCTGATTCATCACAGAAAGAACGTTACACAAATTCACAAGGAAGAGAGAAGTCATATCTTGTGGTAGACCGTAATTGAACAAAAAAAGAAAGTAACAAAATTTCAGAAATTAGTTTTTTTTTTAGAATTTGTTTGCAATCCCGAGGAAACCAATACAAGATTATAATATATAGCAAACTGGCATGTGTTCTGACTTTTATAAATTCGAAATTGTTTCAATCAAAATCCTGTGGATGTAATATTGAGTTACAAATTCTTATAAAAGATAAAATATATAAAAACTTTTAGAGAAAAAAAAGAAAGAAAAGAGAGAGGATAAAGCAAATAAAAGATGATGACAGAAGGCTAGAGAGCACAAAGGAGTAAGATGCAAAGAAACTGATCTGAATTGTATCTCATCATCTGTGCTCTCTATCTTCTGTCAACACTATATATCAATGCCTCCCAAACCATTAGAAATCAATTTAAACCAATATGGAAATTAAAAAAGAACCTGACACAAACCTCTGATGGACATCAAGAACTTGAGTTAAAACGAACAAGAGTTTGATGATGATATCATTGTAGCTCTGACTACTTTAGATCTCTTTATATATAGGAGAACTTAGTGATTATTAGGTGTAGAGAGATACCAAAAAGAGTTGTTGTTGATGATGATGATGAGATCTCTTGAAGTCACTATTTATAGACCCAAAGAGAGCAGCAAGATGATATCTTCAACGCTCCAACTGAATTGGTCTTTTTTTTTTTTTTGGCAAGTTTGGAATAATGTTGTAATTAATTGGTTCCTTGGGTATATACTACTAGCTTTCAAAATTCTATTCTTGAATGGGAAAAAAAAAACTTAGATTTTTGTTGAAAGAAAAAAATATTTTTATTTGGCTCTTTCTACCTATTTGCTATCTAGCAATATTACTTTTTTTTAAAAGAAAAATTTAAAAAGCAATATAGCTTTACTCTTCTGTTTTGTTTTGTTTTCTTTCCTTTTGTCAAAAAAACTACTTTGTGTGTATATATTTACATATGTGATTCAAGAATAAGTATGTATAACATTTCTGAACAATGAAATAATTTTGGTAGAACAATAATGAGTTTCGTTGAATGAACTAAAGCTTTTTAGCTTAGATTTTTATATGGTTGTAGATTGGTGAGTCCAATCAATTTCAGGTTGAAATTAGGGTTTTTATAATTAGACTCTTGTGTTGTTCTTTCGTCTCATGTTATTTATTTTTTTAATAAGATGTATCAATTACAAATATTGTTTAATGTTTTTAGAGGCTACTAGAAAATATTTTCTCTAATCCAGCTGTATGTACTTATATTGTAATTTTATTCTATTCATGATTTGTTGTTTTGAACAGTTATATTAGCAAAGGGAGCTGAATGTATTTATTTTTTACCTTACAAGAAAATAGAGTTTATATAAAAGACAGGAAAATATCAACTGATTAATTCTACCGTAATTAACCTACAGCTATGTTTCTAATTAATCAGATTCATATCTACAAAAACTCATTTTCTTATCATGCAATAGTATGGTAGGTATTAACTATTAACTATTAACCAATTAACAAAGAAATAAAATAAAGTATGAATAGGCTCTCTTGTCTTGTCATACAGTTGCCCTAGAAACATATGGGTCGAGTAAAAGAAATGGGGTTGACTGCTTTGTCTTGTGGTTTTTTTTTTAAAAAAGAAATTATTTATTGGTTTTTCTTTTGTCATTGATGATACTCGATCGTTCATTTGTATATATGTTATTTCTTGTGTATAATTAAAAAACCTTTAGTGTAAAAACATTACTTTAATTTTTATGAATGTAAAATATTATATTGAACAAAAAAAACTGTTTTATAACAAATATAATATATTATAAGAAAAAATAGATTAGCCACTATGGGTGTGAAATCAGTAACACAAACCTCCTTCATAATGTAGTGTTATTTTGAAATCTCTTTTCTATGAAACTAGTTGAGCTAAGAGAAAAAGAAAACCCTTTTTTTGTAAAACTATGAACGTTAAACAAGTTGAGCTAAGAACTCCTAAAAAGGAGAACCCCTGGCCCCAAGACTCAGTTTCTATAGTGGGAAAAGAACTAATTCGAAAAAATATCTAAACTTATCTTAGTAGTTTTAGCAGAACTTATGAAAGCTATTTATATTTTCTTACGAGATGCACAACTGATGTTGTAAGAAGATTATTTTAAGAAAATAGAGTTTTCAACTTAATAAATTACACTAGTATCAAACACCAATGGTAAATGTACTTTTTTTGGATCAAACACCAAAGGTAAATTTTGTTGACAAACGGCAGGTCCTTTTTCATGAAGTAGTTATAACCTAAAAGAGTTATTTATGGATAAGAAATAGAATGTTACTCTTGAAACAAGAAAAGAATATTAGGGTTAATACAATTGTAGTATTTTTGTGTGTGTGTGTAGTGAGATCATGGATGATGGATGCAACAAGAATATAGCCAATAGAAGAAAAAAAGGCAAAGAGGGAACAAAGAATCTGACAGAAACAGTGTCTTATCCTCATCTCTTCATTTCTCTCTTTGGGGAAAGCATCTTCTTACTTGTCGCTTCCCTATAGCTTCTTCCTTATTCTCTTTTGCTTTCTCAACCCTATCCTCATTCCTTTTTCTTCATTCCACTATTCTCCACTCACTCCATTTTCTTTTTTCACTTCTATATACAAACGCATTCACACACATATGTCATCAAAAGAACTAATTAGTAATTAAAGTAATGTATGTCGAGAAAGATCCCACATTGGAAGATGTGATGGACTTAAATAACATATAAAGGGTTAGAGCCAATCCACTCATTGCCAATTGGTTTTGAGTTGGAAGTCCATAACAAATCCTAATTTAACATGATATCAGAGTCCGAACATACGTTGACCCATTAATTAATCCGGCCCGGATAAAAGTCTGATCACCCCATTAATTGATGGCCCAAAAGAAGGCCCAATTCCATTGAGATAGCTAGAAGAGCATTATCTCGAGGCGTGGTGCTAGATTCTGTCGAGATTAATGGCTAAAAGAGCCATTATCTCGAGGGGGCGTGTAGACTCACTGCCAATTGGTTGAGTTCATAACAAACCCTAATTTAACAATGTAAGTTTATTTCTTAAAGATGAGGAATTAGATGATTAATTTCCTTAGTGGTGGCATAAAGATGATGTAAACTATAAACACAAGTAGTTAGATCATTAGATTCTATATTATAGAGCATCAATTTTAGTTTATTAAAAGAATTGTGGTCTTGGTCAAGCCAATATCGACAGGCCACATGCGATCTTATCATCTTTACAACAATCCAGACAAAAACTTCTGCCTGAGTGAAGAGTATAAAGTATAAGGAGTCAAGTATATATTAGTTGCAATGCATATATCTTTGACTAGACAAGGCTGTGACAGTGGCCCATATTTGTAGGCCAAATTCATTGTCTTTGGTTCCATTATATAATTAATTATAAAATGATTGGATATGACATAACAAAAAAAAACATTTTGGTTTCAAAAATTAGGGGTTTTGGTTTTTTGGATAACTCCATGAAAAGTCAAAATTGGCAAAACCACAACATAGAAGCAAAAGCGTAAATATTTTGCGTGTTAACTGGATGAAGTTTAATCAAATGTGCCATTTACATATTTACTACATGCGCTAGAAGCCATTAATATTAAAGCTAGGAGCTAAAATTGGGGTTTGGTTTGGTTACTACTTACTATGTGTTTATAAAAGAATCGTTAGGGTTAAAGTAGCACAAGACTCAAAATTTTCAACCTTCGAAACAAAACTCTAAACTTTAACCACTAAAAGTATACCCTGAATTTAAAATAGTTAATCTAAACCAAAATATACAAATTCAAAATTTTGAAACTCAAATTTTGTGTTTGTGGTGTTTTTGAAAAATCAATAAATTATGT